GTTCAGTTCACTCAGCATCAGTCCATACAGGTCTTCTCAGGTTTTTCTGAAGTCCACCTGCTCATCATTTCTTATAGCGCTACATTCATATACCACAACTTGTTCAGCCATTCCCCAATTGATGGGCATTCCCTCAGTTTCCAATTCTTTGCCACCACAAAAAGAGCTGCTATAAATATTTTTGTACATGTGGGTAAAAAGGAGTTATTCTTGTTATGGCCCCAAAGGCCAGATCTTAATTCACTTAGATTTTAGGCAAGTATTGCTACATTTTAAGCTTGATTAGAAAGCTAGGTATAAAAACAAACAAGAGCCATGCATAAGAAGCAAAATATTATATGTTCCAACAAGTAAAGAATGTGAGAAATTCTTTAAATTTAAATTCTTTAAAAAAAACAAGAACTTTATGAACTGATACAGATGAAATTTTACTATAGTCTTGGAGGCAAGTATTGATACAAAAATTATCTTTGAAGGCTTAAGATTTTATTTGGTCAGAAAATGAGTACTACCTTAAGACTTTTCAGATTAAAATTTCATATCTGTTTCTTTAATTGTTAAGATTTTAGTTGTTAATAAATATTTTTTTAAAAATTTCATAGTGTAGTCCTACTTTATTTTAGTTTTATCTGATTATATTATAGGAAAGCAAATATGGTAGTAATGGGGGAGGAATAGGTAAGTAGGAGGTTTGTAGAATGAAAGAAGGCAAATGGGAAGAAAAGGAGTTGTGTGGACATGAAAGAAAAAATGGAATATTAAAACAAAAAACTAAGATAAAGGCAAAGCCCAAGTTAGAACTGTGTGTCTTTCAATTTCTAACCTGTTGCTGAATTACTTATGTGATGCTATCTTTCTGTTCTTTTCCTGCCTTTTGTTTGAATATAAGCCTACTGTAGGTACAATGTGTGTTTTCGAAACTATTCATGCAGGACATTCATTCATTCATACCTTGGAAATGCTTAACTTCTGATCATCTTAATCTCATTCATTATACATGGCTCATTCATTCAACAAATATTTATAAAGTATATGCTCAACATTTTGCACTGTAGCAAGTATTATAAGGATATATACACAATATATGCCCCCAAGGCAAAAATGAGGGACTGTAGTTTGGCAGAGATGTTATAGTGCAGGAGATATAGATTTAGGAATTAGTCGTTGGGGAATGGCTGTGATCATCAAGGGAGAGGGATATATATGATAGGAAGAAAACAGCGAAGAATGAAAAACTTTGAGGAATGACCAATGTAAGGTAAAGGGCAAGAGAAGAAAGAGGATTAATTGAAGATTTTAAATGAGATTTATCAGGGGCAGCTAGGTGGCACAGTGGATAGAGCACCGGCTCTGAAGTCAGGAGGACCTGAGTTCAAATGTGGCCTTAGACCAAACACTTGATGCTTACTAGCTGTGAGACCCTGGGCAAGTCACTTAACTCCAATTCCCTTTAAAAAGAAAAAAAAAAGGTTTATCAGAGGCAGAACACCAAGATAATGCAATGAAATAGAAACCATAGAAAGATGGTGTGGTAACTAGTGTCACATGCTACAGAGAGGTTAAAGGGGTCAAAAATTGAGAAAAAGCCACTGGGTTTGGCCATTAGTAAATTATTAGTGACCTTCTCAAGAGATTTAAGACTTCCCCTTAGAGTATGGAGCTGGACCATCTGAGGAGGAAATGGACTCTGTGTCATATAATGGTAGTGAGGCTACATAGATACCTCTGTTACTGGTCACAAGAAAAGGTACTTGGTGACTGTGCCACAGGGTAGTGAGCTTACATGACCAGTGTATCTGGTGCACAATGGAAAACGTGAAAGACTTGTCAGACATAGTGAGGATAGGGAAGAATGTTTATTTGAGGTTTATCAATCTGATCAAGGAGATTTTATACTGCAAGTGGAGTAGAGAAAACTGCCCCATTAAGGACTAAGCCAGAGGAAGTGGCAGGTATGGCATAATAGTTAATTCACAAGAAACATTGAAGAAAGACATTTTTCATGCCCTAACATGTCTCTACCCAAATACACTGAGGATAGGTACTTTAGGAAAAAAATGAACCTTGAAATCTTAATTGAGAGAGGAAAATACAAACTCATTGGCATCCTTGATGTTTAATGAGATTTTATTCCTGACTCGAATAAGGCGATGGAAGGCAATTTATTCAGTAGAAAAAAAAAGGTTACTGAAATAGCATTGTATATCAAGAAGACAGAGGAAGGAAATCCAAAGGGAAGAAGCATGATGAAGATCATTTGGAGAAGGAGAAAAAGAGACAAAAGAAGAGATGTGGTGGCAGCATATACCAACTGCTCAACCACCATCCGTATTTCTGCCAGATGTTTTTCATAAATGTAGAGAAATTGAAATTTGCTTTTGAATAATTTCATCATTTAGAAGGTAGAAGGGTCAGTTAAATTCAGTTCAGCAAGCATTTATTAAATGTTTTTTTTGTGCAAGGCATTATCTTAGGCTCTGGGAATACATTCTATTTGGTACAGGCTACGTGCTGTACCAAGTCATTTCACTGCAGGATAGAGTAAGATGGGGATACCATTAAGGGCAAGGTGAATTAAGAACTAGTTCTGGTAGTTGGTGGCACTTGAGCTGACCTTTGAATGGATGACCAACTCTACCACATAAACTGGTGATTCATGGAATGATGCTAGTCTGGAAGGAGCTTTCTGATTTGGTGTCATAGGTTTCCATCCTTGGCACTGTTCAACCCAGCATTTTTAATCAGTGACTTAGGGCACACTTATCAAATTACTAGATGACATGAAGCTTGGGGAAGATAACTGTGATGTTGAATGATTTCTTAATTTCAATAGTATAAACTACTGGTTTACTGAGTGTATAAGCCAGATTGTAATTTGTGTTCCCAAAGATCTTAATAGGCTGAAACAATGGGATGCATTTAAGATTAAATTTAATACCTTGAGGTGAAAAATCCTGTATTTGGATTCCAGAAATAAACTGCACAAGTATGATAGGATTGTGGCAATGGTGAGAAAATAGTTCTGTGAAAATATGTTGGCTGAGAGGGTGGCTTTAAGGGTTGCAGTGTGATACGAGAATTGAGAGTTTGCACAGAAAAAGTTAGCAGGACATGTATAACACCTATTTATCATGGGTTTCCACATGGCGATTTTTACTCACTTAATTCCTATAGGTGTCACTAATCATTATCACATTTTTTACTTAATCAGTGGTCACTGTCATGTTAAAAATACATTTTAATGAATACATTTGGGTGTATCTAAAATAATTTTGAATTGTCTAAGGTTTTTAGACGTATAAACCAGTAGAAACTACCAAACTAAGTAAAACTAAGTAAATTTTGTGCTGTGCTCTAGGATATATGGGCTTTAAGAACATAAAATCTTAGAGCTGAAAGTTCCCAAGATTCCATGATGTCCTCACTTAACAGCATAAACACTTTTGGGACTGTGCACTTTGTGACTATTGTTTTATATTCCCTGTGTTACAGCATTTGTTTATATTTAACAAAGATGAAGAAGAGAAACAGAGGTGTCTAAAAATCACAAAATTTTAGAGTTAGGAAAGACCTTAGAAATAGTTTAGGTCACCCTCCTCATTTTACAGGTAAAGAAATTGAGGCTCTAGGAGGAAGAGTAATAGAAAATCCAGATTAGAACCCAGATCTTCTGCCTCTGCCCAGGTTCAGTGCTTTTCTTCCAGTGCACCATTATTGTCTTTTGTATCTCTTCACCATCATCACTTTTGGGAAGTGGCATGGGCTATCATCGTTGGTCAGGGAACTCCAATTAGGAAACTTCCTCTACCAGTGCAGAGCAGCAACTGCTCTATAATTTATACCTGTAGAGATTAAGTTATTTTAAGTTGAGTTTGCAGAGGTATGAAGGTCAATTCTTGGATTAAAATATGTTTTAGGGGGATAAGCTGTCATTCTTTTCAGGGGTAGAGTGGAAATTAAACTTGACTACATTTATGTCATGTGGTTATTTTTGTTTTCTTAAAATTATTCCTTTGGGAAAGTTTCCCATATTAGTGTTCATGGGAAATCTAGTGATTCTGTTTAAATAACACACACACACACACACACACACACACACACACACACACACACACAGAAAGCCCTTTGGCAAACCATTGGCTTTGTCTTCTGTGGAGTCAGGATGACCTAGTTTCAAGTCTCATTTTTGAAAAGTAGTAATTGTGTAAACCTGGGCAAGTCACTTTAATCTCAGTGTCCCAGAGCACTGAGCCCATAAAAGTTGTTGATCATCATTGTTAAAGGGAATTTCCTCACTATACACTAGTGAAATCTCAGCTCTGTTCTGTCCCTACTCAATCAATATAGTATTGGGTGAGGGAAATGGAATTTTAAAATTAGTCAGGTAGACTTTCTCCTTAAGGGACTTAATTTAAAATGATTCACAAATGAAACAGTATGGATTCTATGTACGTGCCATGCTTATTGGGCATGTATTGAAAGGGCAGTATTGTGTTTACTGCCTGCTTTTGTGGTAAAGTTTAAAGGATAATTTTTTTTTCATTTCAGATAGGTGTAACTTAGAAAAACCATGCATTTGTGTTTTGAAAGAGATATTCAACTTAAAAGTCTTCTTAGAAGGGCAGCTAGGTGGTGCAATAAATAGGTAGAGCACCAGCCCTGGAATCAGGAGAACCTGAGTTCAAGTCCAGCCTCAGATACTTATTAGCTGTGTGATCCTGGACAAATCATTTAACTCCCACGCTCTCCCCAAAAAAAGTCTTCCTACAAAATCCTAATTTTCTACTCTCCTGGTAAAGTTTCCTTTAGCTCTCTGAAACCAAACTTTTCTTTCTTTTTTTTTTTCCCCCTTTCCCATCTAGGTGCATTGATTGAAGAGTTGTCAGGTCCTACCAGGCACCTGTTAAATTCAGCTTATAACACAGGGTTTCTCATTTTAAAAGTGTGTTCTGGTTTTAAAGATCTGCCGCTGACATTTTCCTTTCTTCTCTTTAATAAAGCAAATGAAGAAGCATCCTTGCCGCCAGTGTGACAAATCATTCAGCTCATCGCACAGCCTCTGTCGCCATAATCGAATCAAACACAAAGGCATTAGGAAAGTTTACACCTGCTCGTAAGTGATGGTTGTTAATATAAAGGTCATGAGAGAATTAAAAGAAGACCTTTTCTTTGTTTGACTTTATATTGATTCTTTATTTTTAAAATTAATATTTATTGATACCTTTTGTTTTTACATCACCTACATTGCCCCCTAGAGGGAACCTCAGAGGCCATCTCCTCTAGCGCTTTCATTTTTATAGATCATAGGATCATAGATTTGGAAAGTGAAGAAAACTTAGCCCATCTAGTTCAACTCACTCTCCTCACTTTGCAAATAGGAAACTGAGACCAGAAAGGTTAAGGGATTTGCCCAAGGTCACACAGGTAATAAACATTGGAGAAGGGATGTGAATCCATGCTCTTTGAAGCTATAGTCAAGGCTCGTGTCACTGTACCACTCTGCTTTGCTTTAGAATTCAACCCATTTTGTCACCTGGTTCTTTGATATGCTATGTGATGTTAACAGAATTTTTTTAAGGTAAAATAATCATTATAATCTTGATTGCCCTATGCTAATATATTAACCCAACCTAAAAAGTGCAGTATCATATGGTGATAGATTGTATTACTGAAAACATTTCTTCAGAATAACTGATTGACTTTCCAGTCACTGTGCCAAGCTGTCACCTGTAAAACCTTATCTTCAGTAGTGCCTACTTGTTTAAGGCTTTATGCCAATAAGAATAAGGTCGTGGGTTCATTCCTCATCTGAAACATTTTTCCATGCCCTGAGATGTCTAGTTGTAACCCATGCAAATTGTCTTGCCAGTTCATGGCATTGGTTAGAAGGGAATCAGTAAAAAGAGAAATTGACCTAAATTCATCATCAGTCTATAGTCACTAATATCATCTGGTAATTAAGGTCAAAGTGTCATTACATTATTATCAGTAAAAAGTGTTTTTGAAGTAGTTAGCCTGCTTGTGTTGCTGTGTTAATTTTTGCCCAAAGTGAGTTGAGAAAATGTGGTACCTTCCCTTTAGATGCTTAAGACGATTGGACAAACACCAGACATATACATAGATACATACATATTAAATAAAATTTATTGGTAAAGAAATTGAGTGTGTATATGTATATATACTTACATATATTCATATATGCACAGTAAATACAGAAGTTGTAAGTTGACATTACATCTTGAAACTGAGTCATGGGAATTTCACATTTAGACAAGGTTTTGGCAAAGTAGAATTCCTGCATCTCCTGAGGTTAGTCAGGGAAACTTAATAGAAGACATGGGAGTTTTCTGAGTAAAAGGAAAAAAGAGTGTATTGAGGTGACTGCATTCTATGATTAGAGTATAGCCAGGGATTCGGCTAAAGTTTGGGAGTGATGCTTAGAAGGGGATAAGTAGAGAGACTTGACTGAGTAGTAGAAGAAGGTGTGGACTTTAAGGTGATTGAGTGTGGCCCTAGTGAAACTCTAGCTTTGAAACACAATGTTAGTATTTTTTATGTAGAAGCATAAAATCAGTATATTTATTGCACAGGGAAGTCATTTGTAGACTCACAAAAACATCCAGCAAACTCATTGGTGATAGCAAAATTGCAGTCACTAAAAATGATTGAACAGAAAAATGTTGTCACCCTACGTATCAGTGCTGGTTTCATTTGTTGCTTGCGCAGAAGGGTTTAGAAAATGTTTCAGTTATTTTTTTTAGTGCACATATCAAGTTCTTCTGAGCTCTCTGGAAAGTAGCAAATCTAGTTCTGAAAAAGCCCGTAGAATTTTCAGTCACCTATTTGTTTCTTCACTGCTCTTGGTGTCTACATTATAATGTACATCTCTAAGTAGCTATTGAGTTAATAAACTCTAGGATTTCTGAAGCTATTATCTAAAAAGTGATGATTTCTCATCTTCAGAAAAAAAAAGGAAACAAAATAATGTCTACATGGATATATCCCTTGCTACTACAGAGTTGTTTTTAGAGAAGAGGGGTAGTAAAATGGAAAAAGTACTGGACTGGAGTCCCAAGACTTTAGGTTCATTTCCTAGCTGTGTGACCATGAACAAGTCACTTCTTGTCTATAAGCTTTGGCTTTGTAAAGTACAATATTAAATTGGAGCTTATTGTATTCTTCCTTTTACCTGTGATATTCTCACTCAACATAGACCAATGTTTTTAAATGCCTGCATTTTAACCCATTGGTTGACCACTAAAAAACAATTTATCCATAAAGTTAAAGTTTTATATATATATATATGATTATTATTTTCATGAAGAATTGCCCATGCTGCATGCTTCAGATGATAAAGAGCAGGTTTCTCTGTGTTATATAGCTGGCATCACTAATTAATAGTTGGTAGAAGACCATCTTCTTCCTTCTTTCTTTCATATTAAAGCACCTCTGCAGGAATGCTCTTAAAGTCATCTTAAAGGGAAAAAAAAATTAAATTGAGAGCTTCTCCTTTTCAAGAAAGTAGAGAATACTGGTGCTTAACCAGGAATATTTTATAAGGCACTTGAACCAAAATGATCCGAGTTTACAAAAAAAAAAAGTGACACTAACAATTTAAAATGTTTAATAAAATGGGAAATAAGAACAACAGGGCTGTGGATCTGGAGCTTCTAAGGGACCTCAGAGCCTATCTAGTCCAACTGCCTCATCTTAGAAATGAACTGAATTAAACTGAAGCCCAGGGAGCATAAATGAATTTCCCCAGGTGACCTAGGTAGTGTCCTAAATGGGATTTGAACTCAGGTCCTTCCTCCAGAGCCAGTGCTCTTAGGCTGTTGCTGCTCTTTTATGCCTTTGATACTGGTAAGTATGAAATTGGCTTGTGAAGATCTTGAAGACCAGTAAACATATTTGTGGGCCTAGAGTTCTTTTGAAAATCCCTATAAGCAAAATGTGTACATGACTTTTGTTGTTTTATGTAGGCACTGCCCAGAATCAAGGCGCACATTTACAAAACGGTTAATGCTAGAGAAACACATTCAGCTGATGCATGGGATTAAGGACCCTGATTTAAAAGAAATGACAGAATCTACCAGTGTGGAGGAAACAGAAATAAAAGAAGAGACCAAGGTAAAACACATAAGAATTGCTCTCTTTGCAGTGACTATTAGTATAGGAAGCTAGGTAGATTTATCTCTGAATGCTAATTCTAATACAGTGAAAGATAGATATGTGACAGAAAATCATAACATGTCAAAGCTGGAGGTGCCCTAGAAGTCACCTGATCTCACCCCATCATTTGATAAACATCCTGAGAAAAGCTAGTAGGGAATTGGAAACCAGGCCTTTGGACTCTGTAAGTCCAGTGCTTTTTCCATTGCACAACACTGCAACACATTACTTATTTTTTTTTAGTTTAATTTTTTAAATTCTGAACTCCACAAATAACAAAAGAGAGGACCTTTCCTTATACAAAGTAGAACAGAAAGGTTATATGTGAAACTGCAATTTTCTATTGTGTACAAGCCTACTTTTTAAACAAAGAATATAATAAATGTCAACTTGTTACTTTCACATCTGTCCAGCTTGTCTGTGTTTGTTTCTGAATTTCCTTCTGTTCTCTTCTATGTATTTTTTGTTTTGGTTGGTTTTTTTAGTTGGGTAGTGGGGGTTGGGTTACACAGCTAGTAAGTGTTATGTGTCTGAGGCCAGATTTGAACTCAGGTCCTCCAGAATCCAGGGCCGGTGCTCTATCCACTGTGCCACCTAGCTGCCCCCATCTTCTATGCATTTTAAAAAATGCTTCGATGATCCTCTTTGATATAATGCTTCTTACAAATTGCATAGCTGTAACAACAAAATATAAATCAGCACTTGGAAATTTATTGGTGTCAGGGATGAAATACACTATCCCAGTGTTTTCACACTTTTTCTGTCTTTTGGCCTTAGATCAGATTTACAGTTTAAATCCATATACAGATATACAGATATTTATTGAATGCCCTCTATGCAGAGGACTGTTCTAGGTGCTGTGGGGAACAGAGAGAAAAGTACAAGATATGGTCTTTGTACTTAGGAAGTGTGGCTGGTGAAAGAGAAGCTTTTCTCTCAGCTCCCACAATTGAATAGTTTTTTCACAAAACAAAATTGGACTAGACCCATAATTGAATAGAAAGGGAACCAGTCTAGCTTTAGAATTGAGTCATAAGATGGAGTTAGTGTGGTTCACTCATTTCCCACTACCACTTGCTGTTCTAATCCCCTCGGGAGCTGATGATTTAGTTGAGGATGAAAGAGAAGTTTTACAGAATTCAACCTGAGTCTCTTCCCTAAGCCCCATACATAACTGTATGTATGTAACTATCTAGATGTCCCACGAGCACTTCAAACCTAATGTATTCAGAATATCATTCGCCTCTCTTCCCAACTTCTCTGTATCTGTTGATGACACTGTCACCCCCCCGATTCATGCAAAACTTAAAATCTCAGACATTTTAAATTTTTTCCTCCTCTTTAACATTCCTTTTCTCCCTCTCTAAGGATTCTGCCTCCACAGTACTTCTTATACCTATCCCCTCTGCTCTAGTTAGCTAATTTATCACACCACCCTAGTTCAGGCCTTTAACAGCACCTGGACTATTTAATATTATAATATTTTTGTTGTTCGGTTGTTTCAGTGATGTCTGACTCTTCATGACCCTATTTGGGGTTTTCTTGGCAGAGAGACTGAAGCAGTTTGCCATTTCCTTCTCTAGTTCATTTTATAGATGAAGAAACAGGACAAACAGGGTTAAGTGACTTTCCCAGGGTCACACTGCTAGTAAGTGTCTAAAGCCAGATTTGAACTCAGGAAGATGAACATTCTTGATTTCACACTCAGCGCTCTATCCGTTGTGCCACTTAGCTGCCCTAATATTAACTATGCTGTGATATGATATATGATATGATATGGTGCAATATAAATATATAGTCCATTTGCCTCATTTTAGAGATGAGGAAGCTGAAGCCCACGTGGATAAATGAATTTCTTGAGGTCACCCAGGTCATATCATAGGTGGGATTGGAACCCAGGTACTGTGAGTCAGGTACTGAAAGACAGTGTAGTGCTATTGGTGGTCATCCAGTAATGTAATAAATATAATACATGTAATGTAATATAGCACAATGTGTTATAATAGCCTCCTAACTGATCTCTACCTTGACCCTCTTTAATCCAGATATCGATTCTTCCTATTGCTGTGAGCAGCGGCTTTCAAACTTTTTCATCTCAGGACCCCTTTATACTTTTAAAAAATATTGAGGATCCCCCAAAGAACTTTTGTTTATGTGGGTCATAGCTATCAATACTTATTAAACTAGAAATAAAAGCATTTTAGTATTATGAAAATAATCTTGACCTCAGGAACATTTTAAAATGTCTCAGCCCCCTCCCCCCCACCTGGGACCCCTGGGTCACTTTTTGAAAACTTTTGGCCTAAAGCAGCACTTCTTAAACTGTGGGTCGCAACCCCACATGGGATCATGAAAAATTTGGCAAGAGTAAAAGATTTCAGAATGCACAACAGCCAAATTAAAAATCAAACACAGAATGAATCTGAGGTGTTATCTGTAGCCTTGCTTCTGAACACAAAACATGTCCTCAGGCCACACAACTCCAAGGCACTGGTGCCCAAATGGAAAAGGGGTCATGAATGGAAAAAGTTTAAGAAGCCCTGGCCCAGGATAAAATAAAACTATTAACCTGCCAGTTAAAGCCCCAACAATCTGGCTACAGTACACTCTTTTCATACTACTCCCCTTTATACACTCTGTGGTCCAGCCACGTTGAGTTGTTGTCTTTTTCCCAATTTCATCCTGTACGCTCTCATCTGTGTGCTTTTATGTAGATCCTCCCGTACACTTGAAACGTTCTTCCTCTTCATTTCCACCGGTTGAAATCCTTTTCTTTCTTTGAAGCCCAATCCACGTGCTGTATAAATAACTTCACTTTCCCCTCTCAAGGGAAAGTAAGTTCTCTCTCTTCTAAGATTTGTCTTGATCTTAGCCTGGTCATATTTTATTTTGTCTCATTTTTATGTAAAGTGCATTAACACCTATTCAATCTTAGCCTTCTGAACAACAGGAACTATATTTATTTTTGTTTTTTAGTCTCTCAGTATCTCCCATTCTATGGGAGATACGTTGTTGAGTTGTGTTAGGCATGTTTTTAGGCATGTCTGACTCTTCATGACCCCATTTGGTGTTTTCTTGTCAAGTGGAATAGTTTGCCATGTTCTTCTCCAGCTCATTTTACAGATGAGGAAACTGACTTGATAAGGGTTACAGATGAGGGTTAAGTGACTTGCCCAGGGTCACACAGCTAGGATGTGTCTGAGGCCAGATCTGAACTCAGGAAAATGAGTCCTTCTGACTCTAAGCCCAGGAATCTATCTACTGTGGCAACTAGCTGACTTATGGAAGATGCTTAATACATATTTGTGGAATTAAACTGAAGTTGTTGAAGACATACCTGTGGAGAGAGAACCAATGGTACAAAGCAATAAGTGATTTAGTGCCAAATGAATGGTACAGTCGAGAGGGAGAGATCATTGTGAGCTGGGACCGTCTAGGAAAGCAGTGCCGCTGGGTCTTGAAGCATTTAATTAGAGAGGGGGAGAAAAGAGGAACAGCAGGAACAAATTTGAGGGGGGATGGTGGGAGGAGCATCGAGTTGGAATAAGAGAGCGCTGGGAGGTAAGACATGGGAGATTCAACAACATGTTTTTATTGCAACTGAGGCCCCTGGTTTCAGCAGGCTTGGAACACCAGCTTCTCTTCCTGGGTACTGATTAACTACTTCCAACATTTGGCAATAGTTTCATCCTTTAAAGCACAAGACCTTTGCCTAAAATAAGCATTATAACTGAAAGAAATAGAAAGAGCTGGGCATTTCCTTTGTATTACCTTTCCCTGGGGAATTTGTAGTTAAACTGAGCATAGGCTTAGACATCAAGTAGTCCAGCCTTCTTGTTTATACATGAGGAAACAGATGCAGAGTAGTTAGGTGGCAAAAATGGTAAGGTCGATCACAGATAATAAGCATCAGAGCTAAGGTACAGTCTTTTGGGGGGGGGTGGCAATTGGGGTTAAGTGACTTGCCCAGGGTCACACAGGTAGTAAGCATCAAGTGTTTTGGCCTGAGGCTGGATTTGAATTCAGGTCCTCCTGACTTCAGGGCCGGCACTCTATCCAGTGGGCACCTAGCTGCCCCAAGGGTACGGTCTTTGTAGTATTCTTATCGGCAAGAGATTTTTGTTGTTAAGTCATTTCAGTTGTGTCCGACTCTTTGTGAACCCATTTGGGATGTTCTTGGCAAAGATACTGGAGTGGTTTGCTGTTTTCTTCTCCAGCTCATTTTGCAAATGAGGAAACTGAGGCAAAGAGGGTTAAGTGGCTTGCCCAGGTTCACACAGCTAGTGTCTGAGGTCACATTCGAACTCAGATCTTCCTGACTCCAGGCCCAGCACTTTATCCACAGTGTCATCTAGCTGCCCTCAGCCAGAGATAGATGTCTGTATATTGAACTGTGACTGGCAGAAGATTAAGGACAGCGTAAGAGTGAGATCACATTAATATTGGAAACAGGGTAAAACATTGCAGAAGCATGTCTTTTTTTTTATTAATGCCAAAATGTGATCATATCTTACTGTCTTTTAGCTCAATCAGAGATGATCATTCTTCAGGAAAATAGCAGGACTATTTTAATTTGATCAATGTTTTTTGCTTGTTGTCTCTTATCAGGCCCCCAGTCCAAAGCGGAAATTAGAAGAACCCGTTTTAGAATTCAGACCCCCACGAGGAGCAATTACTCAGCCATTGAAGAAACTAAAGATAAATGTTTTTAAAGTTCACAAGTGTGCTGTGTGTGGCTTTACAACAGAAAATCTTCTGCAGTTTCACGAACACATCCCTCAGCATAAGTCTGACGGCTCTTCTTACCAATGTCGAGAATGTGGCCTTTGCTACACCTCCCATGTGTCTCTCTCCCGGCATCTCTTCATAGTCCATAAATTAAAGGAACCTCAACCTGTGTCTAAGCAGAATGGTTCTGGGGAAGATAATCAACAGGAAAACAAACCCAGTCATGAAGACGAATCATCTGATAGCCTGATGTCAGACAGAAAATGCAAAGTGTGTGCAAAGACATTTGAAACTGAAGCTGCCTTAAATACTCACATGAGAACACATGGCATGGCCTTCATTAAGTCTAAAAGAATGAGTTCAGCTGAAAAATGAGTATTCCAAAAGGAAAATCTCTCTCCACATTGGAATGGAAAAAACTTTTTTTTGTTACAGAAAGTTTGCAGTATAATAGAGTTGACAGTACTGTTTAGGCTGTTGCAATATATTCTCCTTAAATGTATCCTCTTCACCTCATCGTATATACCCTCAATAAGTATTAAAACAGTATTTGAGTTTAAAAAGAGTTTGTATATATTTAAACTAATAACTTTTATACTCTTTGTTACGTGTTTGTATCAGTATTTAGTGGGTAATGTTTTAAGGTTTTTTTTGTTTAGTATTTTTCTTTTTTGTACTAAGTTTCTTTAAAACAGAGTTCTTAGCACTGGGGGCAGTTCCTTGGATTCAGATAAACTGTTTTGTACGCCATGAGTTTGAATGGTTTAGCTAATTAAATTACAGGCTAACATAATGCCTTTTTTAGTATTTTTTATTTTTTAGAATTCACTACATAAATTGTAGTTGGTTTTAGGTGTCAAGAACACTAGGCTCTTCAAGTGTCTTAGCACTAGTTCTCAGTGTATCTACTTTGAAAGAAGTATGTGCGCGCCTCGAAACTCATCATTGCATATCTGTGCATCTCTAGGTATTTTTTAGGGCCACAAGAGAAAGTTTTTAAAGCAGTCTTGCAAATAACCCACTGGTGGATAACAACTTAGACCAGGCAAGTAGAAGGGAATGGTTTTCCTTAATGTTGTCTGTGAAGAGAAAGGGAAGGAGTCCATTGTAAAATTAGATCAGAAAGAGTTGTGGGCTGGCAATTTTTTTTCATATATATTTGCAAGACTGTTTTAAGATCACAGGGATGTAAGCTTGATGAAAGGGCTGGACTGCTGTAGAAGAAACAAATATGTAACTAGATCAATAGATTTTTATACAGTCTGGTTTTTGTCTTGTAATTTATTAAACATAGAGACAAATAAAAAACCAAGTATTTCTTTGGCTTTTAAAGGAAGAAAATAGTTCATTTAACCCTGTGCTGTCTCAAGAATTGACTTTTCCTATTCTGGGTGCTAATGCCAAATGTTCTGGTACTTAGAGTTAGGATGCGCAACTGAAGCTGCTATCCATCGATGTGTTAATACAGCAGCCTATAGAATCACAATTGGCCATTTCAGATTGAGCACACAGCTGCCAGGTTTTCGTTCTGTCATTTCAATAAGTATATCTAACATTGGTAGTTATGCTTTAATGAAGCACAGCAAAGGTACCGTTCTGTCCCTTCCATATATAGTTCTCTGTGAGAGTTATATTTTTTGTGTTTTTTTGTTTTGTATTTTATATCTTGTATTTATCCCTAAACAAGTTTTGTACTTTTTTTTAAAAAAAAACTTTTGTGTATATATAGATACTTGCATGATATACTGTAGTTATCGTTCCGTTCCTTAAAGGGTCTTGCTGCTGTCAGATGTTATACACTACGTTCATTATAACCGTATTAAACACATTTCATATGTAAATAAATGTGGCACATTTTGCCCTTGTGCGTCTGTGAGTCACTTTTATTTATAGTTGAATTCTGACAACTTTATGAATTTTAGAAAGCTATTAGTTACTAGAAAATGGACTGTAAGAATATGATTTTTAAAATCCTCATCCTAGAAATATAGAAGTGCTCATTCCCATCACCAGCTGGTTATTTGGGGATCTCCACTATTCATTTAACAAATATTTCTTAAGCCTGTCTGCTAGGTAAAAGGCAACATTAGGCTTTCTCAGGCTATGTGGTTGAATTTGGTGTAGGGGATGGGGGAAGGGATTAAACAAGTGCTTATTGTATACTAGGCACTGATACTAAGTGCTTTACAGATATCTTATGGGAACCTCACAACAACCCTTTTAGGAAGGTGCTGTTCTCATTTTTATAGTTTTGAGAATACTGAGGCAAACAGGCCAAGTGACTTGTCCAGGGTCACACAGTTAGTGAATATCTGAGGTTGGATTCAGATTCCAGTCTTCCTGACTCTAGGTCTATGGTTATAGCCACTGTACCACCAGACTGCCTTTAGGAAGGTTACAATTTAATGGGGAGATGAAATATATACAAACAGCTATCTTACAAGGCAGAATAATAATGGCCTTAGGAGAGATATGGTAAATAATAACTAGTTAGGATTAATATAGTACTTTAAAGTTTGCAAAGCACATTACAGATAATTACATTTTATCTGCACACAACCATGGCGGGTAGGTAGGTGCTATTGTTGTCCCGATTTTGCAAATGAGGAAACTGAGGGAGATTGAGGTTTACTGACTTATCCAGGCTAGTAAGTAAGGCTGGATTTGAACTTGGGTCTTCTTGACTCCAGATCCAGTACTATCCATTGTACCACTTAGCTACCTAAAAATAATGTGAGAGTTAGTAGGGAGGAGAGAGAATTTCTGAGAGGGAAGGGAAATAAAACTTCTTATATGATGTCATTAAGATGGGCTGGATTTGAAGGAAAAGTAGGTTTTTTTTTTTAACAGGGCAAAGCTCGGGAGTCATCTACATAGCTCCAGAGGGTAGAGCTCTGAGCCTGGAGTCAAATCTGAATTCAAATCCAGCCTCAGATACTTACTAGCTGGGTGACCCTGGTCAAGTCACTTAACCTCTGTTTATATTACTCCATTGCAGAAGGAAATGGCAAACTTGACAAATAAAATGCTATTAAGTGGAGAAAAAAAATCTCCATGGATAGTATTGGCATACTATGGTCCATGGGGTCACAAAGAATCAGATACAACTGAACAACGGCAAAGATGAGGAATATGGACTTTCTAAGTGGTGGGAAAGGCCTGAATAGAAGACAGAAAGGTTATGAAGGCCCAAGGCATATTCATGCAACAGCAAGTCATCCAGTTTGGCCAGAAAAAAGGGTAAGTGAAGGCATAGTGGCACATAATGCTAGAAAAGTAGATCTGAATCCCAGCTTAGGAATTTTGACTGTTTGGAAGTGACTGGGGAGCTAGTGGGGATTTTGAAATGAGAAATGCTGGCAGACCTCTGATGGCAAGATAGACTAGGGGGACAGTGGAGTGACGTTGGAGGCAAGAAGCTAGTTAATAGAAGTGTTAGTAACTAAGAGATAACAAAGACTCAATTGTATGTAGTGTGACTGAAGTTATGTAGAGAAAGGAACTTAGGGAAGATATTTTAGAGCTAAAATCAACAGAACTAGGCAGTTAATTGGATTTATTAGGTGAAAGTGACAGTGAAATTATTCTGAAATTTTGACTGGACAAAGAAAAGTTTTGGTAAGAAATTTGGGGAAGATGGTGGGTTTGGTTTTAGACATGCATATATTTTTATCAGTCATGTATTTTGTCATTCATCCTTGCTTTTTTTTCACCTGTTATATGAGTAATGTATGAAAATAAATATTCCCAAAACAGGTGTTGTTTTTCTTTTTAAATCAGTCTCAGAAAAAAATAAGCTCAGATGCTATCAATTCAATGTCTAGTGTATACTACTCTTCAAAGAATTTCTCTAAAAACAGCTCCTACCCCCCTATGAAAAATAGTCTAATTCCTTAAGTATATGGTGGGAAAGAAAGGTCTTTGTATTCTGCTTTGTAGTGGCTCATTAATGATTATTTATGAGAAGCTTCAAAGCAAAGCCAGACAGCTTGTGTTCTAATGTTCTTAACCAAATTTGAGTTTACCAGTAAAGATAACATGCAGCCAGCTGTTTAAAATTATGGAAGGTTATTTCAAATTAATATAATCACCTTACTAGCCTTGAACTATCCTACTTCTGTATAGCTAGTTATTGAAAGGAAAAATAGGAAAGGAAAACAAGAAATTGAAGTTTTCATGAAGACTGAAAGGAATGATTTAGAGATTTCCCACTTTGTCTTCCTTACAAGTGCTTATGGGATCAATCCCAACATGAAAGGAAAAAATCTGGTAAATATACAATTCAATTGAAATTAAAAAAAAAAACCTTAAATGTGGCCTGAGACACTTACTAGCTGTGTGACCCTGGGTAAGTAACATAACCTCTGGCTTAATCTGTACAATTAGGATAATAATAGCTACCTACCTCACAGGGTTGTTGTACTGATCAAGTGAGATACGTATGTAAGCATTTAGCACGGTGTCTGGTACATAGTAGGTGCTTAATAAATTCTTATTTCATTCCTTTTCATCTTACCTTCCACAGTGCATCTGCAAGTGGACTATAAGCAGTATGGGATCATGAGCCAATAAAAAGCTGAAAGTTTATTTTTCTTATCCCAGAAAAAAAATGATTAAATTTTAGATCAAGGCTAGCTGGCTTAGACTGATGCACAAATGTGGATAACAATTTCGGGTGAGAAATCTGCTGCTTCAAATTGCAAATTATTTTTTCCTCTTTCTGTATACTTACATGATCTTAGTCAAAAGACTGAGAATTGATTCTAGGTACAATTTGTCTTCCCTTCTCCCCCATCAGTATCTCCTTAAATTGGAGCACACATTTTTATAGTACTTTGCAGCTTACACGATGCATGCCTATAAATTATCTCATTTAATCCTGTGAAATAACACTGTGAAGTAGATGTGTAAATATACTTTTCTCTAATTTGCAGATTAGGTCACTGAAGCTCAGAGAAATGATTTAACTTTCCAGTAGTCAACACAGCCACAGAGTATGGAATCGAGGTCCAAATCAGTGTCTTCTTATTCCAAATCAAATGCTCGTTCCACTACTGTGTTTCTGCTGCTCTGATGTTTGTGTGTATACGTTTACATATACATGCATATGTGTGTGAACATGTATGTGTGTATGGGGGAGGTGTGAGGGGCCATATTACAACTATGAGTCAGTTATGTTCTGTGATCAAAGGGAAATTCATAGGATCAGAGACCCAGAGTTGGGAGGGACATTAGGGGGTCTAGTCCAGCCCCTTCATTTGACAGATAAGGAAGTAAGGCTCAAAGGTGTCACAAAGATGCCCAGGGTTGGGGCAGCTAGGTGGCAAAGGGGATAGAGCGCTGGCCCTGGAGTCAAGAGGACCTGAGTTCAAATCCAGCCTCAGGCATTTGCTAGCTTTGTCACCCTGGGCAAGTCACTTAACCCCAATTGCCTCCCCTGCAAAAAGCAGTCTGGTCCTATATTGCCTTGCTTAGGCCTTTAAAGACTTTGGGATAGTGAGGTAGGGCAGTGGATAGAGCACTGGCCCTGGATTCAGGAGGACCTGAGTTCAAATCAGGCCTCAGACATATAACACTTACTAGCTGTGTGTCCCTGGGCAAGTCACTCAACCCTATTGCCTAGCCCCCCCCAAAAAAAAAAGATGCTCAGGGTCACATGGTGGTATGTAGTATCGCTTCCTGTATCTCTTCTCAGGGTATTCCTCAAGTTTAAGAAACAATCTGTTTTTGTTTGGTGTAGTGGATAGAGCACTGGGCCAGAGTTGGGAAGGCATTGAGTTCAAATGTGGCTTCAACCACTTCCTAGCTACATGACCCTGAGCAAGTCACTTAGCACAGTTTCAGTTTCTTCATCTTTAAAATAAGCTGGAGAAGGAAATGGCAAACCACTCCTATATCTTTGCCAAGAAAACCCTAAATGGTATCACAAAGAGTTGGGATGACTGAAAACTACTGAACAACAACAAAAAGTTGTGTGACCTAAACAAGTCACTTAACTTCCATCTCCTCAGTTTCCTGAACTGTAAAAAGGGGATAATAGCCCTTACCTCCCAGCATTGTTGTGAGGATAAATGAGATACGTGTACGGCCTCAGCACAGTGCCTGGCACATAGTAGGCACTTAATAAATGCTCGTTCTTTCCCTTCTCCCCTTTGGTCATTAGATTATAGCAATCATAGCTTAATCATCATCTCAGGTTAAGGGTCACAGAGAAGGATTAAGAGAGGAAAGGAAAGGAAAGGAGATGTTTCCATATTGGCTCACTTGTAGAACCAGCAGTGTTGACAATTGCCTCTTGATTAATGGAGAAAACTAGCTTGTAAGGCAGCTGGGTGGCACAATGGGTAGAGCACTAGGCCTGGAGTCAGGAATACTGAGTCCAAATCCAATCTCAGGCACCCACTGGCTGTGTGACCCTGGCCTAGTCACTTAACCTCTGTTTGCTTCAGCTCAACTATAAAATAAGGATAACAATAGCATCTATCTCCCAGACTTCTTTTGAGGATCAAATGAGATATTTTTTGTTGTTGTTTTCTGTTTCATTTTTCTTTTTTTAATTTTATTTTAGACTCAGACACCAGAACACAAATACAAAATAGAGAAAAGAAAAAAAAATACATCATAAACTTAAATATTGGAACTTAAATACAGAGTAAGAAAAAAGGCATGTCGTGTGCATAGCAGAACATAAGAAAGGATTCAAAATATGAAAACGATAAATTTTCATTTCAAGAAAGCCTGTATGAAAGGACTATATGTTGTGTTGAAAGTTGTCCATCTTTTCTTTGCTTTCTTGTAAATTTTCTTTTGTTTTCTGCTGTGCACTTTTTTACTTTGTTCTTTTTTTGCCCTTCCTTCCCCTCTCCC